CACCAAGCTCACTGCGAGGGGCCCTCAGGGACGGCTTCACCGCCAACACACGCGCGCTATCGTGAAGTCTCCAAGGTCACCCGAGATGATGGGCGCCCTGGAAACGTGTCGCGGAGGCTTGTAGAAGAGAAGGCATCGGAGGGGGACAGCGGCTCCGAGAACTCAGGGAAGGTGACGGTGAGGGCAGGGGCGAGGCCGCACAGGAGGAAACGCCAGGACACAGAACAGATACCGAGATACCTCCCGAGATGGTGCCTGCACCTGATTGGCCGTGGCCCCCCCACAGGAAGACAGGGCCTGCAGCACCTTGATAACACCGAGCCCGGCCCGCCCCCTCCCGCCGGCTCCTGCGCCCGCGTCAAGGTAAGAGCCCTCTGGCGCGTCCCCCTTGTCGCTGTGTGTCCCCCCGAAGGTTGAGCCCGGGCCGCAGTGGAGCCAAGGAGCCCCTGTGCTTCCTACGGTGTCCCCTGCCTCTGCCCGCAATTTCCTCCCTGCTCAGCCATCGCTCGGTCCTTGAACCCAGCATGTCTCCCTGCGTCCGGGCTTGCATCTGACATCTCAGCAGGGAGCACCGGTGCCCCGGCCCTGCACCCTCTGGCCGGTTCTCCGGTGGGCTTTCCCCCAGTTTTCACCGATACGTGTCCTACCCTGTCCACCCGCCCCTGCCCCAGCATTCTCACCCGGTCACTTGATGGAGTGACGTGTGCCATCGCTGTGGCAGGACTACTCCACGGCACGTGGGGACTGAAGCTGGACAGCTACGGAGGCCGACGGTCACACGGCTCCTTAGACGGGAGGCCTAGGACCCAGGACGAGCATGTCACGGTGAAGGCGGAGGCCTGACTGTCCTCCAGCCACCAGGCCCGCCGACCAGGCTTCGGGAGCGGGTCCCCTCGGAGACAGCACCCCGGGACATTTTGGTGAGCAAAGTAAAAGTTTTCTTTGATGACATCGACGCGTAGTGATATGTCCTCTGCTTGATTAGGATGTTGTTTCGAGCACATTATACATCTAGAATCAAAGACAACCTAAACTATGCTAAATTCTTCATGCCATTAATTTATTTTTTATGATTTAATTTAAAAATTTTTTTTTTTTTAATTTTTTTTTCAACGTTTATTTTTGGGA